TTTAAAAGTATAGTAAAATATATGCTTCATCTTAATAAAAACATCTTTTTTGTTTCAATTTTAATAGTTGAAAAAGAAACGTAATATAGATCGAATCACGTTAAGTCTTAACTAGTAATGATGCCTTCAAACTTCTTTTTTTAAATACTGTCATAATGTGTCAATTATTAAAATTGAATAAAAAAAATCGTTCTATGTTCGATTAAAAACAAATCACGTTTTTTAAATCTTCATGAATGTTAGCAGAACCAAAAGAACTATTGTTAGAAAAGAAAAACAATTTCAAACAATTTATACCGATAAATTGTTTTTATTTAGTAAAAAAGAAGAAATCAAATTTTTATTAAATATAATTATATTCGAATAGTTATATCCAATGCACTTTGTTTGAAAGTTTTTACTTTGAAAGTTTTATTTTCTAAAGTTTTATTTTTTGGATTTTAGTAATTATTTTTTTAATTATTTCAGATTTTCATCAGCCAATACTTTTAACATGATTGACATATTTCTTCAGAAAGATGTTAAGAAGTTACTCAAAAATAAAAATATTGTCTTTATGGGAGATTCTAGTAAGTGTACTTATGTTTTAAACTTTGTTTATTGCTTGATATAGTGTTTTAAGAAATATAGATCTAAAAGTATGTAATATAACTTTTCAATTTTTCAGTATAATACGTTCTTTGGAGTGAACTTTTTTCAATTTTTTAAAGATAGTAGAGAAATTAAACAGTTTGGTGTTCTGCATTCGTTACTTGTGCCATAAATTAAACAGTTTGGTGTTCTGCATTCGTTATTTGTGTCATTGAATTATACATTTTGGTGTACTGCATTTGATACTCGTATCTTTAAATTAAACATCCATCTAATCATGTACATTTAATTTAGTTACAGACTATTTTAGCTTATTTAATATGAATATATTATTGCTATCAAAATTCTAATTTCTTTGCTTACGTCTATCGCAAATTTTTTCTTATTCAATATGTTTCTTATGTTTAGATATAAGAGCTTTATATAAAGATATACTTTGCTTGTTGGACAAAAATAGACTCATTGCCCAGAGTATTCTTAAGAAAAAAGTAAGATTTATTTCTATTAAATAAATTTTTAATATTAACCAATCACTTGTTTGTTGACATTGATTATTTCTTTGACTGTTTGCTTTAGTATTTTATAAATTTCAATATGTTTTTTTGCATCACAAGCTGTTTCGCATTGAAATCAGTGGCAAAATTGCCGATTGCAATGCAAGATTGCAGATAGATTATTGCTTTAAACAGATAAAATGCCCTAATTTCCACCCCAAAAGCTCTCCTCTAAAAGGAGTTTGAATTTTTGAACTAGACATAATTTAGATGACTGAGTCAGTTAATGAATGAATAAGTGAACTACTTTTAATGTTTTTTCTTCGATTACTTACTGTAAATTAATAAAATATTTTGTAGTTAATTGATTTTATTTACTAAGAGAGTGGATTAAACTTAGGTTTATTTAAGAAAGAGAACTAAAATTGTTTTTTTTTTTTTCAAATTAATCACACTATTTTCCCTTGTCAGTTAATCTACAGTTGCTTCTAATTTTTCTGAATGTCTTAATTAGAACAGTTTCTATAAAATTTCGATATCTTTCACAGTTATGACAAGAATTTCCCAATTTCTTTTTATAAATTTTTTTCTTCTTTTTTATCATTTATTTTTCTGCAACGAATACAATTATTTAGAAATTTTATAATAATATTTTTTATCTGTTTACATACTGTAAAGTACTGTTTAAAAACAAGGTGCTACTACTTTTACGGTACAAGTTCATCACCGTCTTTAATATATTTTTTGAGGAGCCTTGTCTAAAGTAAAGAATTAACATTCAAGCTGTTGAAAAACAAAAACGCTAGCGAAAACTATCAAATAACTAGTGAGGAAAGTAGAACTGAAAATATAAAAAAAAAATACCAGTGGAAATAATAACGATAGTTATTGTTTTTGATATTATTCTCCCCGCTTTCTTCAATAGTGATTCATCAGATTATGATAGATTTTATCGATCGTCGTCGCTAAAATATTAATTTGCGAACCCTTATCCTCTATA